GATGATCTCGAGACCCTCAAGTGGGAGACCGCCTCCAACGAAGAGGACCGTCCTGCTGGTGCCGCCGCCGTGGCCGGTGGCGAGTCTTTTGAGCAGGGTGGAGACGATGCCTGGGGCAGTGGCAACGCCGACGGAGATTTGGACAACGGCGGAACCGCCAACGGTGATGACGACGATGGCGGTTGGGGCAAGAAGAATGATGATGCTGGCAACAAGGAGTCCGCCGCAGATGGCGGTGATGCTTGGGGCGCTCCTGCCATCGCCGCCGCCTGGTAAGGGGGTCATGCTGCTTCTGGAGTTCAACTCGAGCCCCAGCTTGGACCCTCAAGAGGACGCGGTTAGCCAGTCCACCTCTCACTACCTAGGGGAAATGTCGTGGTGATATGAGGCGATCGAACGGAGTGTCTAAGCAGAAGGCTCTGCAAGACAAGATAGATACTCGAATGAAATAAAACTCGAAGGCCTGGTAACGACGCCTGGTGATACGCTCGATAGGTGACCTCTATGCACGACTGTAGGGTGACTTGGGTGACTTGGAGCGTCACCAGCTGGTTGGTCGGCCAAGTCTGCATGGACAGTCCGACCGAGTCACATGCTTGATATGAGCGTTGGTATCAAAGCTGACGGACCAGACAGGCATCGTAAGCAACCCAAGAGACGGATTGATCATCTCGCCCAGTCATCTATTATCAAAGGCCCACGGGCCAGGTATCTATACGTCTCATTGTTCATTCACACAGCACAAAGACACAAGCGGACCCTCGGCGTCATGACACTAGGGCCATCGGCCGTGTAGCAGCCTCCACAGGCTCAAGCATTCCGGGCCATTCCCCAGAGACCGCTCCCCTTGCGGCCCAGGGATAGCCCGTAGCCGAGGTCGACGATGCCTCGTGTGAACCGCCAGGTCCTTTCCTGGTCGGCCACGGGGTAGCGCACAGGCGGGGGAATGGAGGTGCGGACGCCGAGCGAGCCGATGCGGTCCCGACAGATGCTCTTGGCGTTGCAGAGGCCGCGCAGGCCCTCCTCGCCGGCGAAGCGACCGTAGCCGGACCCGCCGACGCCGCCAAAGGGGAGCTGGACGGCGTAGTAGACGGCAAAGTCGTTGACGGCGACCATGCCCGTGTGCAGGCCGTCGACGACGGCGAGCAGGACGGGGTCGGCATCGGAACCGAAGACAGAGGCGCCGAGGCCAAAGGGCGCAGCGTTGGAGACGGCGAGCACGGAGGGCGCCGTGGAGGCGGGGGCGCCGCATGAGGTTCTTGATGGGGCCGAAA